GCAAGGGGAGTGTCTCCAGGTGCAGCAGGGGGCTTCTGAGGAGGGAAATGCTGAGCAGGGCTGTGAAGTAGAGAGCAGTAGAGAAAGACCAAGGGACTAACACATGCTAGTAATGGCACCAGCAGCCCAGGAGGAGTTTCACAGATGGGCTGAGTGCATGTACCATCATCAGCTGGAAGAACAATGTCAGAGGTCACACATGTGAGCCTTGCTTTTCCTTGGGAGAATTCTGTTCCTTGGGAGAATTCCTAGTGCAAAATGACCTGAAGGCAAAGGCATGGCCCCTCCAAGAAAATAAAATAAATAAATCCCTATTATGTACCAGAAACCACAATGAGGGTGGGAGGCATCACCCCAGTCCTCCCAGCCTGGGCTTCTGGGGGCCTGTCCTTCTGTCCAGTGTCTGCCCCATGCACGGAAGCAAATGGGAGAGAGATTGCGAGGAGACACAGGGGCAGCAGCCACCTCCTAACTCCTTAGAGAGTCTGTTCCTTACTAGGGCAATTGAAAAACAAGCTGGCAGGTGTGGGATTCATACCCATCACAAAATCTGGGATCAGGAGAGATTTTTTTCTCCCTCAGATTAGCACAGACTGTGGTGGTGCTGCCTACACCTGTAGTGTGGGGCATGGTACTTGTCCTGGGATCCTCTGGGAATGTATTTACTAACTACTTCCCTGTTGTTACAGAGGCAGGGCACTGGCAGTGCTGTCATCACCCCTTTTTTGCTCAGTGCAGAGTTTCCTTAATGTTCCCGGTTTTGTGCCTGGTTGTTATGTGTGAGGGTTTGAAGATTGTGGTGACTGTTATTGTGGGGGATTCTTTGGATAAAAGGGTGCCTGTGAGCCCTGGGGACTGGACTCAGCGGCCTAGGAGGCCCCTTCCCATCCTGTGGAGAGCAGGCCAAGCCAGAAGGAAGGTCCCTATCCACTCCCTTTGCTTCATAGGGCTGTGGTGTGGATTCTGCATTGACCACAGGGGCTACTCCTGGGGTTTCTGCTGAGTGCTCTCTCCGGTATTGACTCTGGAGCTCAGTGAAGGGTGAAAAGCTTCCTTTTTGTCTCTCCCGAGGTCACTTGCACAGGCCAGTCCAATGCTGACCATTATTTCTGTGGTTACAGGAACCACTATGGGCCAGGGACAAACAGATTAGTGCCTCATCCCAGGCTGGATCTACCCTTCTCTCTCCAGACAAGACAGATGTCCCTGTCCCAGCTGCTACAACTACCTTGGTATCCCCAAAGAAAATCCCTGCCTCCCACTAACTCATCCTTCCTGCTGCAAGGGTTCTCTTCCTTTCCGTCTGAGAGGTCCTTCTGTCCCAGAACTTCCTTTCTATCCCCAGAGGCCCCTGGCCTGGCTTTCCTACCTGGAAATCTGCAGTGATTTCCTCTCTACTGGCATTAAGGCCCTACTACCAGCTTCCCCACTCCCTCTTGGAGCCCCACCATAGATTTGCCCCATGCTCCCGGCAGACACCAGCTCTCCCCTGTGCCATCCCATCTTGTTAATTCCCAACTTGCTGGCTGTGTCTCAGCTGCAGACGGCGCTGTAATCAGCCAGGGCCCGCTCCTCTGCAAGGGGAAAAGAGAAAGACAGAGTTACACACAGAGGGGAGAGTCCAGCCTCAGCCCTCTGCAGCACAGCACTAAGGCCACAGAGCCCCTGCTCCTGGCATGAAGAAACCACTGGCTCCAAACCCAGTGGTAGTAGTCATAGATCTTGATGTGACCTGACTTCAGGCCAGACACTTAAATATCCTGCTCCAGCTACAGGAAGAAAGTCTGTGATCTGTCACTCAGCTTGTGGAGACAGGAGAGAGGGTCAACAAGGTAGGGGCAGGCAGGGAAGGGAAAAAGTGAGACACCCCTGCCGTGTTTGCAGGCCATTGGAGGGACAGGATTTTAAAGAATGAGTAACTGTGAGGGCTGGCAAATGCCAAGCAAAGTAATGGCGCAGCCAGACAGTCTTCCTCCACACGCAGCTCTGCCAGTACTTCTCACTCAGGTCCCGCAGCCTCCTCCCCCTGCTATTCCTAACCAAGGTAGCTCAGTTCTATTTACCTTGGTCCAGATAAATGTAGTTCCCTTCCAGTTTCACCTCCATTTGCTTAACAATGTTTTTTTTTGCTGCAGCTTGGACAGGAAACAACACGGTAGCTGGTCAGCTCCTTTTCAGAGAACTCCTGCCCCGAGGGGATCACCACTCCCCATTAGATTGGAGGCATGGTGTGATAAACACCTTTCTCCCCCTGCTCTGCTATCAGAGATCACAGCTCAGGTGTCCCCTCAAAGGCAGGCACAGCAGCCTGCCTTGATGTTGTGGGAAAGGAATCTCTCACTTCCAGGAGTGAGGGCCATACACTTGGGGAATAGGCCAGAGGCCTTCAAGGGAGGAAGTGTGGCCGACCTCCCTACAGCCACTCAGGCAGCTCCTGGTTGGCCCTGGAGACTTACATGCTGATGCATAATAAAGCTGGCTGTTAAGCTGTAAATAGACATCACATTTGTCCAGAGAGAAAGCCTTTTGTCCCAGGACCCTATAACTCCATGATCTTACTTCAAGTTCCTCTGGAGCATGAGGGATAAAATGTGCTAAGGCTTTTTCCTGAGACATGGCCCTGTAAGTCTGTACAGTCCTTGCAGCTCCTTCCAGGGACTAGCTGCCCAAGCTGTGTGCTCTCACTCACCACCCACTTGCATAGGAGCAGCAATGCAAGTTGGAAGAGTAACTCATATAAAGGACTGAGCTGTGGCTATTCTGACCTGGGTCAAACCTCAGACCTCAAATGAGATGCCCCTATTTGCAAACTTTCAGTTTCACTGCTCTCCCAGGTACTGAGTGTTAGAGCTACTTTCTCCAGATGCTACAGCTGCATGAATAGCTGATATTTCAGTTCGGTGGTACTACTGAAAAATGAAGTGTTCATTTCAAAACCAGGGTTTTTTCCCCCAAATTGTTGGCACAGAGCTGCAGAATGAGGCTCTTTCTCTCTCCTTCTCTTTCCCAGTGCCACTGAATATTTAACTGTAGAGTGGAACACCTTCATGGCAGGATGGAGAGAGCCTGGCCCAGAGTGCCCTATAGCCATGTTTGGGGCACTCTCTTGGGAAATGCAGACTTTGGTTCAAATCCCTCCTCTGAATCAAGAAGAAAAGATTAAGAGTCAACACCTGTTCCATCTAATAGGAGGCCTAAGTGGATGTAAGCATTTAAATATGATTCTGTTCCATCCTGTTCGCGTCCCTGAAAAATAGCTGATACAAAAGACAAGTGGATCTTCTTCCTGCTTGTTGTGAGGGCCTGTTACAAAAATAGGCATGTTAGCTTTTTTCAGAGACTTGAACAGGGTGAAACATTTAGGTTCCTAGATACACTTAGATTTCTAAGAGGTAGAGTAAGGTCTGACTTTTAGAGGCAGAGACTGTGGGCCAAATACGACTTTACCTGTTAGATATATGAGAGAATTTAGATGCCCAAGTACAATTCTATTTCACCCTGCTTGAGTCCCTGAAAGCAGTTAATGCACAAGGTGGTGGGGTAGGTCCTCCTCATTGGTTTTTTTGTTTGTTTCATTTTTTACTTAGTTTTATGGCCAAAATAATGTTATATTAGAAATGCTGGTGTAATAAAGGGATTTTGAGAGTGTTCTCAGAGTTGAATAGAACTACATTTAGGTACCTAGGCACCTAATAGATGGGCTAAGATGTTGCTCTATGTCTTCATGGGGCCTTACCTAGCAGCCAAGCCAACCAGGCCGCAGATAAGGGAATCATTACAGCAGCAAAGAAAACTGGCCAAACAAAGTGAAGACAAACACTTAACCAGATAGCATTTGTCTTCCCGTAAGCTAGTAATTTCCGAGCACTGTGTCCAAGCCATTCCATCATGTATGGGAACAAGCCACATTTCTACCCCATGCTCATTGGTGCTGCAGACAGGGGAGCACTGTGACTTTGGGGATGCCCCAGCCTGTCACTGTGCATTCCCTCCAGCTTACTTGTATGCTTCACTCCTATTAGTTGGAAAGCATCACCCAAAGGGCCTAATGGTCAGACTGGAGGATTACACTGTGGATGTCTCCACAATTCTGTCTCAATTCATCTATACAGTGCCCACGGGCTGCTGCTTGCTGAAAGATCCTGCAGGTGACCTGTGATTTGTTTATCTGTAGGTTTGATCCCTGTAGCCTTATTTGTGTCCTAGGAGAGGAATTTGGGAAGGTTGTTGCTGAAATGCAAATGATACAATGAGAGACATCAAAAGGATATTGTAGAATCCTGTTCTACCTACTCATCAGCCTGTAGGCAACCAAAGGTATGTGGACCTCCAGTTGGTTAGACTCTACCAGCAACTCAGTGGCAATCCTCCATGTGGAAATAAAGCTTTTCTAGTTTCTAATATAAGTCGACAGATCTCTGCCTGAAATATAGGGTTGATAAATAATATAGTAATATGGGTAATGAGATAGACCTCAGAGCGGAGAGAGAAGGAAGTGGGAAGGAGAGAGGTATGGATCTGCTCAGAGACAAAGGGAGTGTTTTCTCCATGTGGAAGACACAAGTGCTCAGGAAATAGAGGAGCACTGGGAACTAGCTGCTCTTCTCTTGGACACTTCCTATCCCCTGAAATGCTCCAGCTTTACTGCACTTTCAATTCTATGCTGCAACAGACCAGAGGAGATATCACAAGGAACATTTTTCATGGCACGGCTGCAGGGGTACAGAATCAGCTCAGTGGGAAGATCTACCTGGACAGCCTGCTGCAGGTGGATGGTGCTGTGGGGGATTTGCTCCAGTGCTGGCCTGTGGATCTGGCAGTGGTAGAATTAGGGGACTATTCATCTACACCTAACTCCTGCTGATACCACACAGGCAGCCAGAGACATGGAAATCATGGTTGAGGAAGGTAAACAGAGGGGACACACTAATAGGATATACTGCACTATCCCCTGACCAGTTCCCCCTCTGTTATGATGGAGTCCGATCAAATACTAGTGCCTTGGTCCATGATTGACATTTTATTTTCATTCTTTTCACACTCAGGAAAATTCCCAGATTACAATGATCAAAAGCAACCAGACACCCCAAAAATTACTTCACCAGGAGAGGGCTACAGGGCATGGGCCATACATGCAATGTGGGCCTAGGCCTAAAATCCCAGAGGGACCCCAAAGTGATCCACGCTTTGTCCAGAGCTGAGACCCCAGTCCCTCGCAAGGGCAACTGTCAAGGCTTCATACTCCCCTCGCCCCAGCAACTACAATGCAGGAATCCTGATGAGCCAGGGCTGGCCCTGCTGATGGAGGGGAGGAACGATTTCCATCCTATGTCATCCCTGTGTGCTGAAACAGAGGAGAATGAGAGACTGCCCAGGAGACTCCTGGGAAGACTGTGAGAGGAAATAAAGTGGAGCAGCATTAAAAGGAATAGTGAGAGAAACTGGGAATTGGAGAGAAGTGAGAGCAAAGCAAGCTGAAGGAGAGAAACGAGAGCCACCCAAATCCTTGCCAATCTGCAATTCCAGTCTCCCAGTGTCCCCATGTGCCAGTGAGAAAAGACAGGCACGGACTATGCAGCGCACCTGGAAGATGAGCTCAGTTTCATCAGAGTGATGGAGGGCTCTCTATGAGACCCTTTGCTTGTGGAAAGGGAAATTCCACCACAATGCTGGTCTCAGCTGCAGCAGACTGAGCCAGAGAGGTGGGGAGCCATGTCCCAAGCCTTCCAGGACAATGAACCCAGAGTGGAAACTCAGCTCGCAAGCCAGGGAGTAGAATATCAAAGTCAAATGCAGGTTTCATGACACATAACTCAGGGACAACCAGGTTCTGCACTAACTGAAGTCTCCAAACAGCTCAATGCACAGCCTTGTCAAGAGCACTCTGCAAGAGTCTAGTCCTTTTTTTGCAAGGTCTGTTATGACCCCTCCCCTTTCCCAGGAGGTTGGGGAGCCAAAATGTGCTGCTTCTTCCAGCATGGACACAATTATTTCAGGTGGGGAGACTGCTGCAAAGCCCAGGGAAGGAGGAAGGGAGATGGTGGGGAGAGAGCCAGGAGGCAGGTGCTTCAAGCTGACAGGGCAATAGATGGATCAGAGGCACCAGGGTTAGGGTCTTTCCAGGGCAGGAGGGGGCTGTTGTGTCCACCCTGGCAGGGATGGTGTGAAGAGAAGTGCACGGTGGCAGGGAGGAAACCAGGAGGACAGCTCCATGAAGCTTGGGCCTACCTCAGCTGCAGACAGCCCTGTATTCAGCCAGGGCTCGCTCCTCTGAAACAGGAGAGAAGGGATCAGAGTCACACACACAGAGCCCAGGCCCCCACACCCAGCCCAGAGGCCCCCAGCAGCTCCACAGCCCACCTGGCTGGTAATAGTCATAGACCTTGATGTGGCGTGGCTTCAAGTTGGTCACCTTGATCTCCCGCACCAATTTTAGGGCATACGTCTGGGAGGTATTGCTCAGCTGTTGGGAGGGTGGGGGAGATGGGAAACTGCTTTTAGAACTCCCCAAATCTTGGCACAAGTGGCTGACTGTGCTCAGTCTGCCAGAGCCAAGGAAGGAATTTAACAAGACTACTATCCCAGCTATGGGCTCCTCACACAGCTTTGCCAGTGCCCCTCACTCATGCCTCAGCATACACACCTGTTCCACGTAGATGGAGACAGAACTTCGGCTCATCTCCATTCTCCTCACAAGGGGGTTCTGCTGCAGCTGGGAAAGGAAAGAACAGGAGAAGGGTAAGCTGGGTCTCTAAAGGGCAAGTTGGAGAAGTCCAACAGACACTTCTCCCCAGGAATGAACAGCCTCCCTTCTTCGATGGGAGCAGATGAGAGCTCCCACTCCCTGCAGAGCTGATGTCTTCATAGGGTCACTCAGTGCCTGGGACCAATGAGAGGGATATGCTTTTGGTGGCTTTCGGGGGTTTGCTTGGGTCACCGGTCTGAATCCTCCCATGGGAATCACAGGCCTCCAGGCACACAGTAGAGGTAGAGTGGGAGTGGGGTCTATAGCCAACTTTGGGTTTAGATGTTTGGGGCATGAGCTCAGTTAGGAAGTGAAGAACTGCTCTTTGCAGCCTGCTGCCTCTCCTCAGGGTAAGAATAGGACCTGCTTGTATTGACCAATTGGAAGCCATTCTGGCCTCCAATTCCTTACAGATGTGCTAGAGCTTGAAGCCAGGATGAATCCAGACAGCAAGGAGACTTCCACGATCACCATGTTGGAAACAACTCTCCTCCCAATGTAGCTGGAGGTTGGGGGAAGAATGGGAGAGAAGATGTAAACCATCAGAAGCTATGTAAACAAGGGGTAGATGAAGCTATTGATCCTCCTCTGGCCCCAGATTCTCCCACAGCTCTACTGCCTCTGCATGACAGCCCTGGGGCCAGGGCCAGGACCATCCCAGAAGAAACCTGGGACCTTGGCTTGGAATAGTGTCTAAGATGGTTTCCTTGCTCTGACCAGCCCTTCTATCCATCCTTGTCCTCTCCCTCTCCCTTGGAGGATATTAAAGGGGACAGCACTACCTCCACTCTTCCATCCTCCAGAAGCAGAGGCACAACCAGAGGCACAACTGCCCCCAAGGGCCCTGGTTCACTTCTTTCCATTTCCTCACAGCTGGCATATTTGCCCTCCAGCTGTGCCCATCCAAACAACCCAACACCTCCCTCACAGCCACTAAGCCCACCCTGACTCCCCAAATATGTCCCCCTCCCACTTCACAGGGGTAGCCACATCCCAGGTGAACGGGCTGGGTGGAGGTGGAGGTGGAGGCTTTCTTGGCCTTACCTGACACTAACACGAAGAGTGAGGATGGACACATCTCTGCTGTTACAGTTGACCAGCTCTGTGGTGATGTGCAAAGCGAAGGTTACAGAGGCCTGTGGGGGAGGCTTATGGTACCTCAGTACTATCTGCAAGGCAGAGAGTGACCCAAATCATCTTCCAGATGTATTACTACTTGGAGTTGAAGTTTTTTTTCCAGATTCATAGGTTTTAGGGCCAAGAGAGGCCATTGTAATCATTTAGTCTGGCCTCCTATATAACTTGATACAAAAGCCACAGAACCACCTCCAATAAGCTCTGTAGAGCCTCTAACAGGAGCAGCCTGAGCCAGGATGTTCCCACAATCAGTGCTATGATGGGAAACAGCAGAGGAAGTGAACAGGGAGGAAAGCTGCAGTCCATCAACCTCCACTGCTGGATGCGTCAACTGAGCAAGCAAATGCAATGGCGCTCTTGGGTCATGCAAACTGGCCTCTAGTCCAGCCCTGCATGAGGAGCACAGCCAGTGTCTAACTCCCCCCACCTCCCTGGGAGCGACGACCTACCTGGGCAAAGATGCAGCCTCTGCCCTTGGCCTGGAGTGAGTACTTCCCAGGGACTTCTGTCAGTGTTTCCTGCTGCAGCAGCAGCCGGTTCTTGTGGGTGACCTGGAACTTCCTCTCAAAGCTGCCCTGGGATGTCACCATCACCTCCAAGTCTGCCTCCTTGCTGTATGTCAGGGCAGCATATTTGGCCAACGCCTGAAGGGCGACCACTGTGTCCTGAAGGGGAAAAACCAGTCACCTCACTGTGTGTCAGCTCTTTCAAGCCAGGAACAACGTCCTTGAACTCCATGCACAAACAGCAGTATTCTCACTCCTGCTGGCTCCGCACTCCAGGAATTAGCTCTGAGATTCACATTCCCAGGCCCTATGTCCAGTGCCCAGCCAGGGGTAACAGTAATTTGCACATGCTCCCGTCATAGAGGTACCTTCTCCAGTGAGGCCCCAGCCCATTCCTCTCCCCAGCATCCCACTCTGGGTTACCTGTGTGGAGGCAAAGCCCCCATAGGCATTCTGCTGCTTGGTGAGCCAGGCCACAATGCCAGAGGCTGTGGCAATGTCAGCCCTGGTCACTGGCTTGGACAGCAGGGCAAGGAGCATGTAGGCTGTCAACTCCACATCCACTGACTGGGGTTGGGACCAGGTGCTGGTACTGGGCGGCTTGGAGGGGGCCTGGCTCCAGTGGATCTGCCCTCCTAGGGGAGGAGAGAATTAGTCAAAGCACTGTCAGAGCAGATGTTCTCAGGCTTGGGACACAAGCAAGGCACCCAGTACCCAGGCACTGCTCAAAGCCACTGGGTAAATCTCTCCTGGCTACATAGATGGCCATGCAAGAATGCTGCCTAGTGTATCCCACCTTAAAGACTTGCGTTCATAGGTAGGAAACTTGCACTCCAAAGGGTGAGATGAAACTTCCCTGGGGTTACACATTGTTTAGTAAGTATGTGGGGACTACCTGCACAATCAGGTAAAATATCTCTCAGTCCACACTGAGAAAGACCACTTGGGAAATAGCCTCCTAGTCCACAGTAGCTCATCCCTTACTCAGTTCCTACCTGGTCTAGCAGGTGACAGGGCTGTATTAAGAAAGGTCAGATAGTTACAGAGCTCAGCTCTCAACTGGCTAAGTCTTGTGGGGGCAGTCACCAGTCACCCCCCCAAGGCTGTGGGGAGGGGAGGAACTGTGCTCTGTGTGCCAGCTAGTACTGGATGGGCCCTTTACCTGCTTTGATGGCCTTCTGGTCTAGTTCCTGAAACAACTGCTTCATGTGCTGGGTGTCCTGAGCCAAAGTGAAGGCATAGGCTAGCAGTGCTTTTGTGTAGGTGCTGGTAATGTTGGGAAGAGCCTGAGTGAGGCAGCCCAGGGCCTTCTGCACCATGCTGCTCTGTAGGGGAGAAACCACATGCTGGGACTGGGCACACATAAACAAAGAGACATAGATGCAGGCATATGTATGCTGACAGATGCACACAGAGGTATAAATGCATGGATTTACAAATGTGAGAGCACAACAGCACAGTTTATGCACAGGTGTGCAGGCCCAGGCACAGGATGGCAAATGGAACAATACCCACTTTCCCGGCTACACATGCTTGCTCTGCACACACAAATAACCAACCCATCCCATGTCACTGCCCTGTGCTTCAGTTAGGACTACGCAGGGATCTCAGCGATTACAGCATCACTGCACTGGAAGCAGCTGAAGTCACCGTCCTTGGAAAATCCCCTCTTCTCTCAGGGCAGCAGTTCTGAATTGCTTCTGCTTAGCTGCCTATGTGCTTCTGCAGTGCCCCTCACACAGATGCCTGAGTCTGGGAGCTGTACCACCTAAATGTGCAATTCTCAATACCACCTCTTGCCTCCCCAGTTAAACCTTTATGGGCAAGTCTATACAGGCTATTAAGGTGAAGAATGACAGAGAGCCTGGGGTGCTCTGCCAGTTTAAGCCAGCCATAGCCCAGAATGGGCCCTGTAGCACAGGCAAGGTGCAGCTAGGACTGGGCGACTATAGAGATGAGCCAACCAGATTAATTAGCAGGCATCACCTGCAAGCAACCCAAGGGAGTCACACAACCAGAAGGGTCAGAGCCCTGGGAGAGAGATAATGCAGGACCAGAGGCAGGGCAGACAGTCTGACTATGGAGGATGAGCATGGAAGAGCTCTCCAGAGGTGCCTGTGATGGAGAGGCAAATTATGAGTGGGCTAGGGAAGTTGAGGGCCTGCAACTGATGAAGAGTCAGGGTTGGATAGGAGTTTTGTTATAGCCAGGTGGGCTTATGTTCTGTTTGGTTTCAGTTTGGTCCAATGCCTGGGGAGGGACCAGGGAGGACTAGATACTGAGAGAAGACCTGGTGGTTTGTGGGGGACTGTGAGGGGTGGCTTGGAGGTGCCAGAGCACCTAGGGCAGTGCAGCAATCCCAAAGCACCTGCAGGGGTGCATCTAGCATGCCCAGAGGGGCGATCTCATAGAGCCCAAGAAAGGCAAAATTAAGATGTAAGGGCCAGAGGGCCCGAAGCCCAGGGCAGGGTAGAGACAGGGCCTGGGACCTAGATACAGAGAAAGACAGAGAGGAAGAGCCCAGAGAGGCTCAGCAGCCCAAGAGAGGGCATAGACAAAGGAAGCTGGGAATCCTGAAGCTCAGTTCGGTCAATTGTCTGCAGGTGGTCGCCGCTTGCCAGTTGGCACTTGCTACCCACCCCCTCCCCCACTGCCGACACCACCATGGGCACCTGCAGGAGATCCCCGCTTGCCACTACCATGCCCCCACCGCCAACACCACTGCTGCTGCCTGTGGGTGGTCGCCGTGGCTCGCCCCAGCCTCGGGAGGCACGCAATGTTCATGACCAGAAGGGACCTCTAGGATCATCAAGTCCAGTCCCCTGCCATGGGCAGAAAGTTATTGGGCTCAACAAGGTGCTTCTCCAGCCTCCTCATGAACACCTTCAAGGATGGTGACTGCCCCACCTCTGCTGGGAGCATGTTCCAGATTCCAGATACCTTCATGGAAAAGAAGTTTTTCCTAATGTCCAACATAAATCTTTCATCAGTCAGCTTGTGCCTGTTGGTCCTCTTCCTCCCTGAGGGTGCCTTTCTGAAGAGTTGCTCCCCTAGATCCTGGTGTTCATCCCTGACATACTTGTAGGCAGGTATCAAGTCACCTCTCAGTCTTCTGTTGCTCAGACTGAACAAACCCTGTTCCCAGAGTTTTTCCTCATAGGACCTATCCTCCAGGCCCCTGATCATATGGGTGGCCCTTCTCTGCATCCTTTCCAGCTTATCCACATCCTTCCTGAAGTACAGTACTTCAGCTGTGGCCTCACTGATGCTGAATAGAGGGGAAGGAGCACGTCTCTGGATCTATTTGCAACACACTGGCTGATACACACCAGAGTCCTATTTGCCCTGCTGGCAGTTTCATCGCACTGTTGGCTTATATTCATCTTCTGGTGGATTGTCACCCCCAGGTCCCTTTCAGATGCAATGCCAGCCAGTGGACCACCACCCATTGTATAGTTGTGGTGAAGGTTCTTCCTACCCAAATGACGGACCCGGCACTTGTCTCTATTGAACCTGATCTGATTGCGTTCTGCCCATAAGACCAGTCTGCCAAGATCATCCTGGATGCTTACCCTATCCTCAAATGTGTCCACATTTCCACACAGCTTGGTGTCATCTGCAAACTTAATCACTGCGCTTTCCAAACTCTCATCCAAGTCATTGATAAATATGTGTCTATCTGATCTCCTGACTCCAAGGAAAATTCACACAACATTACTCCTGCATACAGCCATTAATTTCCACCATAGATCTGTATCATGTCAAGTCCATTAAGTGTTGCAGTTCTTGGGATCCCCTAGCATATTGCATGTGGGGGTTTTAATATGAGTGTCTGCCATTTTAGTCTGTCTTGTTTCCAGATTCCTGTTCAACAGCATACCTACAGCTGACAAACCACATGTCATATCCTGTGATATAATTATGGATCAGTGTCTGACTCTGCCACCTTCTGAAGTCATGATTTTATCATTTTCTTAATATCACTTATATTTGATCTCAGCACCCTTTCCCAATAATGTGTTAGATTGGGGACAACCTCACCGCAGAGCAGCTCATGTCCCACATAACAAGACCCGTTGTCACACATTACAATGCTAAGTATGCATCAAGACAACTAGGTTTGATGTGCATGGCCATAAGTTTAGTGATAGCATCTTCTGGCAAGGCTTTGTCAGGGAAGTGAGAAGCATCTGCGAGCACATGTACACAGTAGGGCTATGCGAAATAGCACCGTTCCGATTCGGCTTCAGTTTTGACAATTTGACGGAACAGTGTTTCATTTCGAGTTGTTTCGTTTCGAAACCACTGTTGCATTTTGCTTCATTGAAACTGTTTTGCTGTTTTGACACTGTTTTGAGGTTTCACCCATAGTTATTATGGGGAAGCAAAATGCAGCAGACAGGCAGATCAGGGGCCTGCTGGCACCCCCGGGAGGGCTGCAGGGGCTGTGCCAGAGTCCTCCCAGGGATGCGAACCCCAGATCTGCCTGCCAGATGAGAGAAGTTGGGTGCTGCTACCTGGGACTGGCACCGGGAAGATCAGCGCTGCCACTGGTCCCAGGAGGCAGCACCCAGCTCCTGTCACCTGGCAGGCAGATTGGGGGCTCGCACCCCCAGGAGGACTCCAGCACAGCCCCTGCAGCCCTCCCAGGGGTGCCAGCAGGGCCACGATCTGCGTGACAGATGACAGGAGATGGGTGCTGCCACTGTGGGCCAGTGGCATGGGGCCAGGGCAGATCAGCTGGTGTGGGGACCCGCTGCCCCAATCCCAGAGCTGGGGAGGATCTCCACACCAGCTAATCTGCCCTGGGCCCCACACCTCCTCCAGCCAGCTCAGGTATGGGGCTGGGGCAGATCAGCTCATGTGGGGACCCTCCCCACCCCGGATTGGCACGCCTGCCCTGCCGCCTGCTCCCTCGGGTCCCAGCAGTTTGCAGCCCAGGGGCTGCGATCTGCCTCCCTACCAGCAGCTTGTAGCCAGGACCCTCCCCCGCACCAGCTGATCTGCCCTGGCCCTGTACCAGAGCTAGCTGGAGGAGGGTGTGGGCCCTGGGGCAGATCAGTTGGGGTGGGGACCCTCCCACACCCTGGGATCGGGGCGGTGGGTCCCCACACTAGCTGATCTTCCCCGGCCCTGTACCCGAGCCGGCTGGAGGAGGCTGCAGCTGCTTGCAGCCCAGTACAAGCCCCCCACACCAGGCTTGGGTCCCAGCGGCTCGCAGCCCCTTTGAACTCAACCCAGTGGCAGAAGGCAGAGCACAGCCCCGGCTCTGCCCACCTCCTGCCATAGAGCTGAGCTCTGTGGGGCTGGCGGAGCCCATCGGAGTGCAGCCTGGCGGCGGGAGGCAGGGAGAGCCAGGGCTGCACTCCCCAATGGGCTGAGCCACATGGGGCTGCGAAGCATAAGCCCTGGCTCTCCCCTGCCTCCCACCACGTGGCTGTTGCTCTGGAACTCCAAATGTTTCAAAACTTTCGGAATGTTTCAGCTGGCCTCATTTTGTTTTGAGGCTGTTTCAAAGCCCTCTGTTTCATTTCAATTTCGCTGTTTCGAGCTTAAAATGAGCCGAAACAGCGTCGAAACAAAACAGCTGGCAAAATTTCACACAGCCCTAGTACACAGTCCTTCTTCAGTCAGCATAAACAAGTGCAAGTCTATGTTGCTCCAGTGACATGAGCACTTTTATCTTGACTGGGCATTGTTTTCTGACATGTGCAACAAACACTGTTGACTTCATCAGTGTGCCTTTATATTTGGAGCCAGCATTAAATGTCTATAGCCCTTCTCAGATTATCCAGTCCATAACTGTCCTCCCTGAATTTTTTTAATATCATTTTGTGGGGCAATTATTGGTGTGGTCAGATAGTTACTGGTGTGGAGAGGATATACTTTACTCTGAACCATGAAGAGTTTCCCAACTCTCTAAAAGATATGTCAAACTCTTCCTCAAATGTTTTGGTTCCCTGTTTTTCTCGATGAGGTCACTTTTAAGCTGATAACGGGAGCTCTTTTCCTTAATACTTTCAGAAATTATATCACTTCCAGTTTGTTATTCACCCATTGATCGACTTTGCACATCCCTTTAGTGGAGATCAGCTCACCATTATCAACAATGAGTTGTATCTGCTACCACTACCTGTGGCTTTTCTCTTATTGTTAATCACTAGGCTTTGACATGTTAATTTGTACATGAATGATCAACTGAAAATTAACCACCACCCCATTTGCTCTCAGACTGACAGTCCATTCATCTTTTGCTGCAATGTTTGTCATCATTCCTATGAAAACTCAATCTGAGTTAACATGTTTTCATTGCCCTCCTCATCCAGTCTGTGAAGTCTTTGCTGATGTTTGTAAACTCTTGTAAAGTCATGTAGTCCCCTGCAGCCTGTTGGAACTTAGAAAACTTAGGACTCCCTGGCAGGATGCCTTGCTGATTCACTCAGGCTTATACTGATCACCAAACTTAGGGTCAGAAAGGGTTTTTCCCTTAAGTCAGACTGGCACAGACCATGGGGATTTTGCTTTCCTCTGTAGTTTGGGGCATGGTCCGTTTCCTAGAATCTTCTTGGCATTTATGAACCAATTATTTCCCTGTTGTTGCAGTGGCAGGGCTTTGGCAGTACTCTTGTGTCCCCTGCTTTTCCCAATGGTGTGTAATAAAGTGTTCTTGAAGCTCCAGGTTTTGCACCTTATAATTGTGTGTGAGGATTTGAAATGGTGATTTTGCGGGGCTTCCTTGAATTAATGGTTGCCTGTGAACACAGGATGGGACTCAGTGGCCCAGAGAACCCCTTACCATCCTGCATTCTTGCAGTTGTTCCTAACTGCTGGGTGTTGTCCTGGCTTGTGCAGTTCTCACAAAACACACGCAGCTCAATGCACTGTTTTCACTTGCAACTGACTGTGTGCCATGGGCCATTCTGCCTTAGCTCCCTCTCTGTGAGATATTTTGGGTTCTCAGACACCTCTGCAATGTTGGAGTGCTGTCCATTTTCCATAAGCTGGTGACTTCAGTGGCTTGTAAGATTTCCAACCCTCCAGAATTGCCCTGGAGTCTCCAGGAATTAGATATAAATCTCCAGGAGACTGCTGAGAATCACCCAGGAAATAAATGGTAGGGCATTCATTAAAAAAAATATTAAACATTGAATCTGATGTATATAGTAGTCCAATAGGTTTTTAAAATGTAATAGCAAAGTATATTTGCCTTCCTGACGTAAAATCTATGCACCGTAATCCGTAACTGATATACACAAGCATGCAGGCACGTTCACGTTGTGTGTCATGGGCACATTGGTGTTCCAGGAACGTCCCAGAATAGATTCAGAGTTGGCAACCCTAGTGGCTTGGACAATTCTAATTGCTTTGTTGGTGGTTAATTAAGGCTATCAACAGTGACTCTTGAGTTATCTTGTTAGGGATTCAAATCACATTCTGGTCTCTTTCCAGGGATTCCCCAAGGCAGACTCAGCTCTTCACCCTCAGATCAATCTTCTTTTTCTCAGACTCTAAGTCATGGTTCATGTTCATGTGGAATACGAATTTTCAAATATCGGTCATGCAGCTTCATAACTGGTCTTCTCACTGGAGCTGACAGCAAACTGCTAGATGCTCAAGTGCATCAGGACCTTCGGCATCAGGCAGGAGGTTCCCTTTTCAGCACCTTCCTTTGCACAGGTCCCTGTCACTTGCAGCAACAGTGTGAAGCCCTACTTCAATCCTCTCCACCTTTCATCCAAAGTTTCCACCTTCCACTCAGGTCATTACCCCCCATTGCACTTTCACCCCTAGTAGCAGCAGGTGTCCAGAAGCCTGTCTAGGCCAAGATGTTTGAGAGAGTTGCTTTTATGCAGAGATGCAATTCCAACTGCACCTGCATCATACAACACAGGCATCAGCAGTGCCTCTCATCAGGCTCCCCCTGCTTTGAAAGGTAAGCTAAGTGCCTAGAATTGCAATTCCCAAAATTCCCCAGCCACGTGAGCTGCCTCCCAGAGATGTTCTTCCAATGGGCAGTGCAAACTTCTCTCCCCTCCCCCAACAACACCCCTGCACAGGAATGGTCAGAGCCTTTCCACCACCCCAGTAACTCCCTCCCTGTGAGCAATGCTCTACCTCTGCCCACAGCAAGAGCTCTTTAGGACACAAGGGGATGCAGCAAAGGTCCTGGATACTCACATTCACCATCTCCCTAGTCTCCAGATATGCTGCAGTGATGTAGGCAGCTAGGGGGACTTCGCCATCCACACCGCCCTGTGGGAAGCACCGACACCCAGGGACACAAGGGCATCAGAGAGAGGCAGCATCAACAGGACCAGACCCAATGCTCCCACCCAGCTTCTTTCCCACCCTCATCTCTGATGTGACCTCTCTGACAAAGCAGTGAGGATGCTGAGCTACCTTCCACACTTTGGAAGGCAACACTTTGAGGGCCACCCAGCCATGCTAGTACCTTCATGGCAGTGTTGAAGAGCTTGCCCACACTCTCAAAGCAGCCATTGGGCAGCTGGTGAAGCTGTATCCAGCTCAGCGCATCCCGGACATTCCTGTCATCGAGGAAGATGTACCGCTTGGCCTGCCCAAAACACTTGGCCACAAATGCTGTCAGCCTGGAGAAGAGGGAGGGAGAGTATGTGGAGGGCAGCAACCAGGAGACTGAGGATGAGGAGGGAGATGCTGTGAAGGAGAAACACTGAAAAGAGAGAGAGAGAGAAGAAGAAGAAAGACAGGAGAGAGAAAGAGACAAAGGAGTGAGGAAGAGGAGGCAGGAGGATACAGGGCAGGGAAAGGAAAGCAGGACTTTGATCAGAATCCTTTCCCCCACCCTCATCCCAGCACCTTGATGCTATGCCATTTTTGTCTGCCCAAATACAGCTCTCCATGCCAGATGTAGGCACATTTCCCTAGGGGTTCCTGGCCTCTGGGCAGAGTATGAGGCACCTTAACCCATCACCAGGGGGCAGGGGCATGTACAGAGATTTCCTTCAGAGCAGATCAGGTACCTCTCCCAAGCAGCACAGTGAAGGGTCCTGAGGGGTTGGCAACAACCCACAACCTCCAGTTCCCAGAGCTACAGGCTCTCAGACAGTGGGCCACAGGGAAGAAAGGTCCCACTGCTTACCAGGTGTTACCATCCTCATCTTTAGTCCCAAATGCACTGTAGGAACCATCATGATGTTTATAGAGCAGCTGCCTCTGAAGCCCTGGGGAGACAGCAAGAAATGACAGTCACCCACTAGGGCTAGGAAAAGGGCATTTTTAGAGTGGATATGGGGAAGAGATGACAAGATATTTAGAATCTCGTTGGGAGGTATTTGCACAGGGCAAAGGTAGGGAAGGCAGATGACATTTGCAGGATGAGTGTCAGAGGAGGAGGGGAGAGCTACTAGCAGGTTGTAGACAAAGAAGCAGACAGAGATTGGTATGATTACCATGGAGGATGAATGAGGGCTACTTGGAGGGTGGGTGCAAAGAAGGGATGAGGGAACACTGGCCAGATGGGTATGACATATGGGCAGGGTGACTAAGGGGTGGGGGTACTGATAGGCTGTGGGCAGGGAAAGGCAGGGAGTGAGTCACAGGATGGGGTAGGGGAAGGGCAGGAGCACACTGGCTAGATGGGCATGGCATATTGGTAGAGTGGGTGTGGGGAGTGGTATACTGACATGGTAAGCGTGGAGAGTGTAGTATATCAGCAGGTGGGTGTGGGGAGTGTGGTGCAATGGAAATCTAGACACAAGGGGTGTACAGGATATAGTATATTGGCAGGCTGGTGGTGGGAGTGGGCAGGGACAAACTGAGTAGCTGGTTGTGTGCAGGACATGTGGTATACTGGCAGGGTGAGCACAGAGTGTGCAGTATGTTGGCAGGGCAGGTGCAGGGGAAGTGTAGTATACTGGCTGGGTGGGCAGAGCAATGGGCCTGGGCTGGGGTCACTTGCCACTGCACAGGAAGCCTGTTGCCCGGTCCCTGATCTCTGGGGTCAGCTGCCCCGTCTTCTCCAGGTACTGCAGCACGTAGACGATGGGAGCAAAGAGCACCATATTCTGCTCCCCGCAGCCTTGGGGCATTTGCACCAGCCGGTCCAGGTTCTGCAGTGCTATGCCCATGATGTCACCTGCCGTAGGTGGGAAAGAGGGGGGTGCAGAAGAGGGGGTCAAAGAGTGAAGCAGAGGAGAGCCCCATGGGGCAGGAGGGAGGAGTCCCCAGGCTATTTTTCTACCCCAAGCATGTGTGGGGGGGTGGTTTTATCATAGCTGGAGTATTCCATTGTAGTGGTAGGCAGGGGGGAGATCTACTTAAATAGTCCATTAGAACAGGGGTGGCCAACCCATATCACACATGCCACAAGTGGCACAGGCAGTGCTGTGTGTGGCATACAAGCCCTGGGCATTCAGTAAAGGCCAATGTTAGAATAGAAGCAGGGGGGCTTGAAGTCCCCATGCTGGGTGGGGTGGAGCAGGGTACCACAGGCTGCTACCAGCAGCGCCATATGTTGCATACAAGAGCCAGGTTAACACTTCCCTGGCCCTGTAGCCGCTGCTGAATTCAGGGCTTTGGTTCCTTACTCACCATATGAAATGGCGGTGGCTGCAGGGCCAGGGAAAGGTCATCCTGGCACTTGGGGGTGACGCTTCCTCTCACAGCAGCATCCCACCCCCACTTGGCTCAAGCCCCCATGTCTCCACTCCACTACCCCAGGATACAAACCCTAGAATGGCCAACTCTGTGAGGTGGGGATCAGCAGCCCTTGGTGGGTAGGGGGGATTAATTTGTGGCATGTGCCCTCTGTGTTCATCCATCCCCCCTCCTGCAAGATTGGTCCCCACAGGGTTAAAGCAAAGGTGGGCAGCATTTCCTCAACAGACTGAGTAGCACAGTGTGCTGAATTGAAGGGTAGTGGGAGAGGAGTCCTAGCTCCCCTCTGGGACACTCTGTTACCCCAAAAGATGGTTTTCTCCAAGGTGGAATGATCCACTGGAAGGGAGTTCTTCTGTCCTGGGTCAGCTTCCCAGGTTGGAAGCAGCATCTTGGTGTTCATAGGTTTTAATCCAGATTTTATCTGAACCAGTCGGGGTCAGGTAACCTAGGTGGAGAGGACATGGGGGACCCAGGCCTTTCCCTTGGGAGGTCCCACAGTGTGTGGGTGCTGTACTGGGTCAAAACTGAAGCAGGTATTTTGGTGGATCTGGTCCCAGCACGCTGAAGCACAAGCATGGGAAAGGGGGCAGGGGAGACTTAGCCTTGGACACACCATGCTGGAGGCTCACAGTGGGGGCACAGGGATGAGGGGCCCGGATCCCAGAGCTGCCTACAGTGCTAGTGCTGGCTCCCTTACCAATGATGGAGACAGTAGCTCTGGCTGAACCTTTCACCACATTACTGGGTAGCTTCAGGGGCACCAAATCCTGCACTGGATTCCCTGAGACATGGAGGAGCAAAAGGAAAAAAAGTCTAAGAAGGCAGGTTCCAGAATCCCCTGTAAACTCTCCCCTGGAGCCAGCCCTGGTCTCTGCCTTGCACCCCCTTCTATGCATCTGGCCAAAACCTTACAGACTTTATGTCTGTTCCCTCTCACTCCTCTACCCCTTACCCCTCTGCACCACCTCTCTCTGCATCCCCAGTGGATGCTGAGCCTTCTCCCTGCACTGCAGTCCTCAACACCCAGGGCAACATCCTATTGAGACTCCATCTCTTTCCAAACCTCAGGTGTTTTAGAAGGGTGTTTTCTCCCTTTGCCACCCCGACTATCTCCCACTCCCACAATCTCTTCCACATTGCTGGTGGCTTCATCATCAACCAGGAACCTCACAGAAGGGGGAAGAGCCCTGAGGTCACCCCCAGTCTGTCTAGGAGTGGGCAGTGAAGGACTGTTCCCTGCAGACTGATCAGATCACATATGACATGGCATCTCTTGCAGTGTGGGAAGGGTCTGGTAATCCCACAGTTCAGGGTTTTTTCTAGTTGCTGGTGAGGCCAGGATGGAATTTCTTCCCCAACATAAATGGTATTGGCTTCTGAGAGGAGGTGGGGGTTGCCTTCCTCTGTAGCACTGGGACACTGGCCACAGCTATGGCTGGGGGCAAGGAGAGCTTGATTGGAATGTGCTAATGTTCCTGCCAGTACTTAAAAAGTTCTGAAGCTCCTAACTACAGGTCTCGCTCTTCTGCTCACGGTCAGACCCATTGCCAAGTCTGGGGCCAGAAAACAATTCTTCTAGGTTAGATGGAGCAGTTCTGAGCATTTTCTTATAACTACTTCCCTGTCATTGCAGTGGCAGAGCATTAACAAGGCCCTTGTCCTTCTGCTTTTATGTCTGGCTTACTTGTAAAGTGTTCCTGCCTTGTGTTTCAGGTGCTGCGCTGTGCTGTGCTGTGCTGTGCTGTGCAGCTGGGGGTGAGACTTTGCAGTAGTGACTCTGGGGATTCCTTGAATCAAGAACAGCTTGCAAATGCACCAAGGAGACTCCTTCCTGTCTGATATTCTTATCTGTTCTAGTTCTAATGGCTCAAGCGATGGAGGCTGCCAAGCTTGTTCATTAGCAACAAGGGATATTTATATGACAGGCTCGGTCCTCCTGCAGGGACATTCAGTGGGAGCTCCCTTGACTCCAGAATTGTAATGGAATTGTGGAACTTAACAAGGGGATAAGAAAGACAGACACAGCACTTGCCTACAAATCGATAAAGGCCCAGTGACCATTAAGCCTGGTCTGGCTGTGAAGAAGTGTTTCCTTTCAGTGAAGGATGCATGAGACAGTGGAAATGTCTCACCAAGGGAAGAGATAAAAGCCTCTCTGCTTCAACTGTTTAAAGCCAAAACTAGACAAAGCCCTGGAGAACAAGGGAAAAGTCCTGCACTGAAACTTGTGGTTGCACATAAGATGTGATTTTATATCCTCAAATAACACTCACAGGCTGTTCCTAAGCCATATTTCCCAGGGCAAATATATTAATAATATGTCTCATAGCTGTATAATCTCCCTATAGCAGCACCCCACCACACACCCCTCCCCTCACTATCCACCTGTATGTCCCAGTACATGGTCACAGGGGAAGCCCTATTACTGACCAGTGCAGACCACTTACCTTCTTTGGGGCACAACAAGGAGCTGCGAGCCTTTTCCACCAGCACTCCCTCTGGCTGTCGGGGGAGAGGTCAGGAATATCAGGGGTAGTGAAGAGAAGATAAAAACAGGGAGACAAGTAGGTTACAGACAGAACAGGTCAACAACCCATCTCCTACCTCAATATCCCAGAGTGTGGATCATCTCTTCCATAAGAAATGTCACTTTTTAAAAATTTGTTTTCATTCCAAAAGGGAATGAAACTAAATATTTTCAGGATTTCCTGTAAAACCAAAATTCTAAAAACAAAAAATACATTTAAATACATTTTATTAAAAAAAAGGAATGTATTTTTTAGAATCCTTTTGGCCTCTATCTTATTTCTATTGTTCAACATTATTTCCTGATACGTCACTAACAGTAGTGCATAACAAAAGGTCTAAATATTGTTTTATTAAAAAAAAAAAGGGCTGTTACTCGATACAGAAAGAAACATTTTCACTTGTTTTCTAAAGTGAAGTATCTCTTGTGCTGTACTGGAATAGGATTACACCTAAATGCTGAAGGCTGCAAATGGGAGAGGAACAGTCATACCCTGTTCACTCTCCCTTTCAGTATACACCCTCTGCCACTGTGTGACACAGGGTCTTTGGTAATACGGAGCTGTGATCTGACCTAGGAAATGACAGTTCTTGTGTTCCTATTTTAAATCTTATTTTCTTGTTGAAAGTCTCAGTGTCAAACTGCTTTGTTTCAAATAGGACCATTTTGGAAAATATGTTAAGAAAGTTTCAGTCTGCATTCAATAGCAACTGCCCTTTATATTTAAAAAGGAATATATAAACTACTAACTTATATTATATCATGATGCATTGTGATGCATCAGAAGCAACAGTTCATAAATGACATGTAATACGTCTATAATATATGACCTTACTTGATATGTGGTTATATTATAAGCACTATTACTATTGATGTCACAAATAATGCAAAATAGAGAGAACATAAAAATAAAACCACACAAAACAAATTATAAGATGAAACGGACATTTCTTTGTAAATTAAGTTTTAAAATGTTGTTCCAGCTGAAATTAAGTTCAACTGGGGGAAAAAAAAAAAATTCTATTTTCAAAGAGGCCGTCATCAAAACTGCTATAATTACACACACAAATGGTTTGGTCAAACCTGTATTTTTGGAAAACATTTTCAACAAAAACTTTCCTCCTCTGTCTAGTTACAAATCCAGTGTGACTTTGTGCCAGGCTTGTGTGAGGGCTCCTCTGTCCATGGAACCCTCTGGGTTTTTGCTCCTTTTCCCTGCCCAAAGACTTATGGCAGTGCCAACTTAAGGACCACAGAGCTCCCGACAAACCTGCCTCCAAGGCTCAGCTTCTGCAGTGGGGCCTAAGTGAGGGGAGCTGGCTTTGTCCTCTGATGGGGAGTGAGGGAGGCAGGATCAGTGGGTACAAAGCAGGCCCATATTCCAGGGGCAGAAGGGGGAAAGAGGTTGAGTTTGTGGGTCTTTCCCTAGGAGGAGGCACACAGGGATGGCGAAGGGCATGAAGTGGAGGAAACTTCTTCCAGAAGCATATTCATCACCCCTCACTGGAAGGGCCTGGGTGCATCCTAGATCAGACGTGGAGATTCTAGTGAGCCTTCCTGAACAAAGGAAGGCAATGTGGGGACAGCATGAAACCTGATTTCAGATTTCCCCCCTTGCAGTAAGGGAGGAAAAGTAACTCAGCCCCAAACTGACCTGAACTAGAAGGGATTTGATCAGTGTGTCTGTCCGTCCTCGGGCTGGCACAAATGGCCTCTCTTTTCCACAGAGCTCTTTGGTGGCCAGGGCCTCTGTGCTGAGAGTGATATTCACCAACCCTGAAAATAAGTGACAACCAATGTACAGGAGCCAACCCCTATGGAAATACCCTCCATTGTGCTGATAGATGGCACCTTCCAAAGACATTCTGCAGAACCTGTGCCCTAGTGATGAAAAGGTCTGTAACCTATTCCCAGAGCCAGACAGCATTCCTCATCCTAGGCTGGATGGCAAGTGGCACCCTCCAGTGAAAAGAGCACATATTCCCATTCTTTTTATCCAGTGCCACATAAAGGGAAGTCAAATAATGTACAGAGTCGCTTCCCTCAGCTTCTTCCTGATTACCCCCGCCCGCTCCCATTTTCCTCACCCAGGTGTGTAGGTGTGACTTCCCACTGAAATGTCTTGGCTTCATTGCCACACAGGCAGGTGGTGTAGAGACAGCTCTTACACAGCTCCAACTGATAGTCTGAGGACTCCACCAGGGTCACCTGGATCTAAAGAGACAGCAGTGATGGACAAACAGAACTAAGAAGACACAAGATATGTGCCATGAAGGTGAATCCAATCCAAGTCCAGAGGCATTTCTCCCACACACCGTACTGTACCTCATGTGGAGCCACTGGCAGGGCTTACCATAATGCACTTAGGAAGATAATTGAAGATGGTGGCCTTCAGGACAAAGGTCTCTCCCCGGATCACAGCATATGGCAGTGTGGGCTCTACAAAGAATGGCTTGAAGGTCCGGAGGCTTGTGGTAGGAGCAAGCCCAAAGCCAATCTCAGCTGTGCAGAACATCCCAGCTTTCCACTCAGTGATGGTGTCGGGCACAGTAACTGTGACATTCCTATTTCCTTTGGGACTGAGAGGAAAAAACAGAAAGAAACAAAATGCTTTAGTAGAACACTATTGCCTTAGACAGTAGCTGTTCATGCCTCAAAGAAGTTGTGACCCTTTATTCCCAATGTGTCCATTCCTATGACCTTAGTCTGAGCTTCACTGAGCTGTGAGGTCTCTGAAAGCTGACCCCACCACCACTTCCATTTTGTGCTTTGGGCAGGTCTCTGCTTTTTCATTCAGGTCACAGACAGTGTTCTCTGAGATTTGCTGTTCAAGTGTGTTAAAACAATCCTATCTTGTGAGAGAGGCTGATTGCCCTCACCTCCCATTGAAGTCCACTGGGAGTCAACTGCAGGTGAACTTTGAGATTCCCAATCCAGTCCTCTAGAGCTCAGCCCTGGAACTGCCAACATCAACATTTCTGACTGGAATAAGATGGATAGGATGACCATAAATCCTGTTTTCACCAGGATAGTCCCATTTTAAACACCTGCCCTGGCTAGATTGTCCAAATGAATGCTTTTATCCCAGTTTCAAAAATCTCTGTGAATTTCTCAGAACATGGTCAGATGTACATTTGAAGCAATTCAAATCCTACTTCTAGTTGAATCACTTCAAAAGCAGAGCAACTCAGTATTGTTCGGATGTACAGCTGCCTCCCCACATCCACATCAGGATGTCATGACCAAATGCAGTGGCAATACCCTCCAACCATGGCACACAATAGCGGGCTGCCAGTACTCTGGCATCCTGTTGCACTGAAAATTAGAGCTCATAGATAGCTAAGCATGGAGCGGTGTGGGTGCAAAGCAGAGTGTTACAGGAGGACTTTGAAAAGGCAGCCCTTAAGTAAGCACCCCCCAACATTTTTCAGGTTGTTCTGCTTCGAGACTCAGGAAAGGTGGTCACTATAAGACAGTGGTTCTCAACCTTTTTGGACTCAAGGCACTCCTCGTTGGACTCAAAAGCATCCATCGTTAAACTCACAATGCACCTCATTAAACTCAAAACATTCCTTAGAAAATTCCAGCTCTTACCTTTCACTTGTTTCTTCACTATGGGAAAAAAAAAATCAAGCAATTCTTCTGCTGCAAACAACTCAGACTGTAAGCAGTAAGAATATTTTTGACACTATGGATTCCTATTGGAAATCTCAGAGTTTTATCTTGTGAATCTTGTGTATGTGTTTGCACACCTACTGGTGCTAAAATTGTGTGGCACCCTGTGGCAACCTTGAAAGGATATCACATATCCTGGGTGCCATGGCGGAGAGTCAGGATGGCTTTATGCAGGGCAAGTGAGACCAAGAGAGCAAAAATTTCCATACAAATATCATTAATGATAATGCTTAGCTCTTTCCATATACAGCACATGCCCTCTGAAGACCTAAAAGCACTTTATGAACACAGGTGACTACTGCTCCTCTTCTCTTGTGACTGAGGAAGCCATCACAGAGGGAAGTGATTTAAGGCCACGGTAAGTTAACGGAAAACCCAAGTATCAGAATCCAAGTGTCATCAAATAGTTCCCAATTCTTTTTTTTGCAGTAACTCCATTTCCAGTCAGCTTTTGACCCCATGTACAGGCTGAGCTTGACCACTACAACTGAATTTCTATGGAGCACATGATACCACTCTTTAAATGCTGTGAACTATATACGTTTGAGACCCTTAGTTTGGAAACTGCTCCCATTCCTACATGCCAAGAACACATGTGCCCCTAGACTTCATTCCAGAGACTCAGTTTAGTCTGCCTCTGCACAGTTCACAACACCTAGAAGCAGAAATTCTGCATCAAAGAGGTGAAGCAGAGTCAAGAGACAGTCATATGGCTGACATTAGTGACTATTAAGACAACCAACAACAATCTGTAGTTAGGAGAAAATAACCTGCCAAAAGCTTACTAGATGTATGTCTCCTGCTGAGGGAAACATGCCCCAAAGAGTTAATTTTTGCCTATTGTGTGTGATGAGATTGGTTTGCTGAACTGAACACATAACAAAGTCATTGTTTAGGAAGACAGCGGGTGGTCAAAGTGGATTAGAGACACCTGCTGTAGAGCAAGCAGAACTGGTGAGGCCCGAGCCCAGTTACTTAGTATTCTGACCAGATTCCACAGAGGGACAGCCAGGGACATAACTAGAGAAGACAGAGATGGAAAATCTTCCTTAGCTCATCCTGCCCCTCCCCAGAGATTTAGTACAGGATGGTTACCTATTGGATTATCATATGCTGATGTCAGTAGTGAGACCATATAATATATAATACTTTTATATCAGATCAAACACAAGGGTAAGCCTTGTCAAGATTGTTTTTCTGTAAGTGGATTCTAGCTTTTTTATGGCCATGGGCATTTAATGAAATAGAAACCTGGCTGAAACTTCATACTGCAAAACTGATTACCAGCAGCTTGGCTGTTAGAGGATTCATATTATCTGAATTTTTCCTGTGTTACCTCTCAGCTCCATGTTCTTGGGGAACCCTGACACAGGACACAGACTGTCTGACTCACAAAGAATCGCACCCCCACCACCTAAACAGAAACTGATTAAGATGCAGTGACAGACACACCTAAAACCCTCCAGATAAGGGTGACAAAAGTGAAACAACTGCCCTAGGTCTCATCTGAGATGGGACCAGATGACTATTCATTTACATGAGAGATGGAGAACAGAAAGCCTGAAGCAGAGACTGCAGTGAATTGTGGGATCAGCGAAGGAGGGGAGCACTGCATGATGGGGAATCTGTGCTCCAAATGCTAATCAACCCTCACACCCAGCTCAGCACTTATCAGACCAGTTCTAATCTGGATTTACAAAGGACTTCCCCCCCCACCCCACCTCTAAGCAAAAGTAAGTTTATTAGGCATCTTGGGCCGTACATTCTCCGGTCCCACTATGGGAGGCCTATGTAAACTTAATTGGCTAAAACTCGGTTGCCGGGTTAGGGAATGCTGAGGCAAGACACCGAGTCTGAGGGGGTATGGGCAACATTTGAACAATGGTACAGGGTTCATCACAGTGTCCAGCCCGTTGGAGCCCT